CGCCCCCGGACAAGCGTGGTACCCGCGTACGGGCCCGTCAAAATTTTTTTCGGGCGAGTTAATAACCCGAGTACCTCAAAAGCTAAAAGACTGTAATTTTAAGAGTATATACCCCCGTTCACCTAAGTTTCATTCAGCTCAAACCTAACTCTTGGGTATGCGTGATAAACACGCACGGGCCCATGAAAATTTTTTTCCATTAAGTTGCTAACTTAAGAGCCATGGAAGCTAGAAAGTTGAAATTTTAAGGGGGTGTTTTCTGACAGTTCTGGCGGCCAGTCTTAATTTTTTTAGCTTGAAGCATTTGCCGAAAAAGCCAGTGCCGGTAGTAACAAAAACTGCGGGGAACTATACAAAAAACGCATTTTCGCACGGGCACCCCGTGCGTTGGCCAATTATTTTTACATAGAAGTCATACGTACAAATAAGTGAGTTATTTTATAGAATATCTATCTTTGTAACTTTGAAACGTTTTAAATTTCAAACGGGGCATTTATCTTCTGACTTGGAACAATCGGTGCAATAAGGAAGAAGGAGCAAACCCTACTGGCTTTTCAAAAAATGTCGCATACGTAGTCGAGTAGTGAACTGAAGATAAAAGGATTAAGGGCTTTGCATTTGGGTGCCGCTTTGTAGAAGCATGCAGAGCAAGCGTATCGTATCCCATAGAACGCCCTGGGATGTCGGAGCCTCACAGCGGCAGTCCAGGTGATTTCATGAGTAATGTTAGCTGGTGATTTCACATATAAATTTTTAAATTGCACTATGGACAGGGAACATCGGCCTAAAATTTCAGCCTTCCAGCTGTTCTGGTTGCGGAGTTAATAATTTTCCTGCAGAAACTTTCATATGTCCTTGCGTGAGTACCATGCATAGTTTAGGGCTGAATTTGAAATGTTTGAGTTCTACTTTGATAGGGAACAATCCTGCAAAATTTCAGCTTTCTAGCTTTTCTGGTACTCGAGTTAGCAATTTTCCCCCTAAAACTTTCATACACCCTTATGTGATTACCACGTGCAACTGGGGGCTGAATTTGAAACCTTTAGCTAGTACATGCACAGGGAATATCCCTACAAGGTTTCAACCCCTTAGCTCGTGTGGTTCCCGAGATCGCTTCCCCGCCAAAAAATTTTCATATTTTTTTAAAACATCTGTACGCGGCACCCAGGAGTGCAAGGGGGAAAA